TTATTGACTCATAATTAGTTAATAATTCTTTCATTTATTTTGTTTAAATTACCTTTCTTGAATAATTGTACTTCATGTCCCTCGTTTAACGTTTGTTAACATTATTTCAATTTGTACATTCTTTGCCCAAACTCTAAAAGTTACTTTATTTAATTTGTTATTACATTTGTACATATATAATATATGTATATATGTATATATAATTTAATATGAGTTTATACTACTTAGTATTTTTTCTGCTCGTTGTAATAAATTGACTGTGTTCATTGAATCATTTGGTTTTTACTGAACATCCACCCTCTCTACCCCACTATAACTTTGTTGAGATTGGTATTTTACCGCACACGCGTGAAGTTATAATACTAGGGAAAAAACACAACACTTTTTGGTTCAAAATAAACGTTGTATTATTTATTGGTGTTTTGAACAAAACTATATATTGCCCTGGGAGGCGTAATATCAGAAAACACAGTAAGTAATATTGACAGAAAAAAATATATATATATATATGCGAAAGGCACAATGTCGTAACGGCGTGTTCGGCGCTGTGGAGCTGACGGCGAGCGATACGATCAGAACGGTGTCACGGAGATGACTTAACGTATATTTGCATCGGGTAGTCGGGGGACGTGTGGTACTTGCTGGACTTTGTATCGTGGCGTATCGCACGCGGTGTTAGTCAGTCAAACTACCATATGCACGTAGTAGGGCGACGGCTGATAAAGGTGTCACGGGTCGCGGGGCTCCGTGTATAGAGAACGCCGCGGAACCGTATCAACTTTAACCATCACTTTCTTTCATACCCAAAACTGCAATTACAATATCTCCCTATTAATTTTGTTCATAATCTATTCAATGAGTTCTTATTCTCTAATTTCTCCAATTATTGTCTTATATTTACTGATGGTTCAGTAAGCTCTAATTCCACTGGTTTCTCTTTCTTTATTCCTAGTCTTAATATTAAATTCTCAGATATTCTCCCTTTACAATCTTGTTCTTTTACCACTGAGTGTTATGTCATTTCTTCGGCCCTTGAGCTTATTCAATCCTTCAATATTTCTAATGTTTTAATAATTGCTGACTCTTTATAAGTCCTTTCTTCTCTCTCTTCTAATTCATTCAAAAAATCCAGATCTTTCCTTATTATTAAAATAAAAGCGTTAATTTATAATCTTTTCTTAGCTAATCAAAAATCGAATTTTTATGGTGTCCTAGTCTTGTGGGTATTTTTGGTAATGAGGAGGCTGACCATTTAGCCAAACTTACCAAATTCATTACCCGTCGTCCAACCCTCAATATTCCTTCATCCGACTTCGTTTCACCCCTTAACAAGACGATATTTTTAGCATGGCAAAAATATTGGTCTTCTCCTTTCTCTCTCATCGCAGCTTGGCACAAATCAATTTCACCAACTATTCCAAATCATCCTTGGTTCCATAAACTTCCTCTCTCCCGGTTCCATATATTATCCTTTTCTCGACTAAGACTTGGTCATAATCGCCTTCCTTTTCATGCGTACAAAATGTCCCTTAACAATTCTCCTTTCTGCTCCAAACATGACGATGAAGTTCTCTGCGACTTTCCTCGTATAATTTTTGACTGCTGTGCATTTGAAAGTAATCATTATATTTTATTTAATATTTTATCTCATTTTAATATCTCTTTTATTAATTGTTACACTATTCTTAACTCAACTTCTCTCGATGTAATTTCATTAGTTATTTCTTTTATTCATTCAGCTGGTTTTTTTATTTACGATTTTTACTGTAATTTTATTGTAATTTTGTTGATGTAAGATCAATTGTACTATTAGCTTCGATGCGAAGCTGAGAAGGTATTAATTTTACCATGATGTGTTTTTTTTTTATGTCTGTTGCCACTTTTTCTCAGCTCTCACTGGACCGATTTCTTTTAACAATACGTCAAAAGATCACAAATTGTATCTAGTTGAAGACATTACCCTTAAAAATTTTAACATTTTCCCTCGTTCCCTGCAAATGGGGGGAAATATCCACAAAAATTACAAATTTAAAATTGGTAAATTTTTTTCACTTTTTTTTCTTAAAACTTCCATAACTTTTTCAAAAACAAACAAATCAACATACTTTTTTTTTATACTAAAACCTTAGATATATTCCTTTTATTTGATATCATTTTTTTGAAAATCTAACGCTTAACCTGCTCATTGGGGGGAATTTAAAATAGCAACTCTTTTACAAAAACTAACTTTTTCAACTTAATTTTTGAAAATGTTTCGAAAATACTGCGTCCTTTAAACATATATCAAATTAAAGCTTATTTTATGTACTATAAAATGGAAAAAAAAATTTGTCTCGACAACCTATTTTCTATTCGAAAATGGCTACCGTATTCAAAAATATGCTATTTATTTATTAAGGCTAATGTTGCTTTTGTAATTACCCATCAAAATCGGTTAAGCCTATCCGTTTTCAATTATGCCAAGTACATGATGCTTTAATAGAAATTAGTGAATCAACAAAGGATTTTAAAATAAAAAGTGAAAGCTCGTCATTACTAAACTATGAATTTTGTTATGGCTTTATTTTAAGTGATGTTTTTTGATACGAACTGTTATCTGCTATAAATAAAGTTAGTAAGTGTCTTTAGAGCAAAAATATGGAAAATGTAATGCTGTATAGTTGTTAAGTGGTCTTAAAGATTTTTTTTATAATTTTAGAAATGTAAGGTTTAAGTCGTCAAAAAAAAATTGCGCAAAATTTATTTGAAAGCCATGATATTCAAGCACTTTTTAAACATTCTAGAATTAAAAAAAAAATTAGGTGATTCAATTATAAAAGCAAAGATGCACGTCTAAATTTGGCTGAGCAAAAATTTTACGAAGATTATTTTTTAGCCATAATATTTCAAGCAATTGTATCAATTAATGAACGTTTTGAACAACTATCTCATCATTCAGAATATTTTGGATTTTAATATTATACTGAAAATTTAAAAACATTTGACAATGAAACGTTATGAAAACATTGTATGGATTTAGAAATTTTATTAAAAGATGGTGAAAATTATGATATAAGTGGTATTGAACTATTTGACGAATTAAAAATTGTTTGTACAATTTTGAACAAAAAAATGACTTCTATAGAATGTCTTAATTTAATAGAAACAACATGTGGCTCATTTCCAAATATTTCTATTGCATCGAGAATATTATTGACCCTTCCGATAACCACATTAAGTGCAGAGAGAAGTTTCTCCAAGTTAAAAATCATAAAATTATTTAATGACATCTATGACACAAAATCGTCTTTCTGATCTAGCAATTATTTCAATTGAACGTGATCTGTGTGAAAATTTAGATTATGACGATATTATTGAAAAATTTGCGAAATAAAAGCCAGAAAAATTGATTTTATGTAATTTAAATTGTTTTAACGAAGGTCAGTATAATTAATACATTGTTTTTTATTCCTTTAATTTTTTTAAATTAAAGCAAATATTTGACTGATATTAAAAAGCGACTGTAGATACTCATGAATATTATTACAAAGGAGTCGTAAATAATTTTATTTTAAAATTCACAATAAATAGTTGTTTAATTTTTTCTTTATAAGTTTATAAAATTTGTATAAAAACAATTTTGTTGTATTTTTAGTTGTAATAATGAATTTAAATGAAGTGTTGTTATCTATATTTTGTTGGTATAAAATTATTTAGTCCTAGGTACTGGTACTTCGGCTATTGATGACAAAAAAAAAAATGTCATTTTTGCTCTGGTCTCGCAAATCTTAAGGTCGTAAGGTAAAATCTTTTCTGATATTGATACAAATAGAGTATAAAATTCATGATCTTTAAATGACTACTCATTTTTAATCCATTTCGTGAAAACACACAAGATATCAAATAACTTGAGTAGTTAATTTTATTTTTATTAGTATTTTTCAGTCGAATAAAATAGTTTGTGTTGCATTACAAAACAAATTCAAGTTGTGAAAAATATTTTTGCTTTATTACTCAAATATTTTCATACCATAAAAAAACACTAAATATTAAAATTATTAAATGTATTATTTTTTATCTAAGAGTGTATTTTATTACCTTGTTATTTCTTTTCATGATTTTTAAAAGTTAAAACTCAATAAAACTCAAAGAAACGTAGACATTTTCCATAAATATTTTTAAATTTATTCTAAATCTATTAAAATTAGACTATAATTGNTAAAAGTTAAAACTCAATAAAACTCAAAGAAACGTAGACATTTTCCATAAATATTTTTAAATTTATTCTAAATCTATTAAAATTAGACTATAATTGAAACTGTTAAATAATTCTTATTGTTTGATTTATTGTTTGTTTATTTTATTACCCAAAAATAGTAGTCTCATTTATAAAATTGTAGGCTGTTACAATACTATAGTAGAGGCTGCACTAATAAGATAAAATAAAAAATAGATGTTAATTAAAGTGTTACTTATTTGATTAAAATATATTATTTATTGAACAATTATATTCCAAACATAAAAAATAATTTTAAGGAACACATTTGTAGTTTTTTTCTATTGTTCTTCCTTAAATACATCATTAAATATTGAAGTACTTACCAATAAAATTAATTAATAAATAAATAAAATTATTTTATTCTTAAGGCGATACTAAGTTTATTTAAAAAAATCAGTAACAGATACGTAAACTAAATTAATTCTGACTATTTCCTATATTTTACAAAACAGTATTTAATATTTTAAGACAATACTAACTTCATAGCACTCAAAAATTTTAAATACTATAGTAGATAAAAAAAGTTAAATAGATTATTCTCGACTTATGATCAAGTCGAGAAAAGGATTTTGTATAGAAATGGGACAGGGGAAGTTTGTAAAACCAACGATGATTAGGAAAAGTTAATGATTTATGCAAAGTAAAATTAATCAATAAATAAATAATATTAACTTAATTTTTAAGTCAGTACTACATATATTTGTTTACTACTAAACATTTATTTAAAAAAAAAATTTGGCAGAAACTAAATTAATTTGACAATTTCTTAAATTCTATCAATAGTATTAACTTATAACAATATTAACTCCATAGCACTCAAACATTTTAAAATATATGATAGATAAAATAAGTTCAATTAATTATTTTCGACTTAGAAATCAACTTAGGATTATCAAATCCAAGATTATTATATTCCACTCTAATGAAATATTCACAAAACCTATCAAATTCCACACAAGCCTGTTGATAATTGGTATTAGAAATAATAGTTGGAATAGAATAATTTGTAGAATCTACATTTGTATTGCTAGTCTCTAAGAGATAATTTTTTAAATGAGTGGGTTTTTCAATATAAAAGCAATGATTTTTATGAACTCTAGCTACATTATGAAAAACTTCCAAAAAGGATATTTTCACATATTGAGCTCTTTTTAGATAATCATCTGCTATTTCATTCAAATTTAAACTCTCAGAATGAGAAAACTCATATCGTAATAAGTTTATTTCTTGTATCCAGTAAAGTATGTTTTCTACTATATTTTTTATTGGTGATAAACAATAATGTGATCCGTTATCATGCCAAATATTTGCTTTTTTTAATTTGTCCATTGCCATCTTTAAATGTTTTAAAAAGTTCTGAATACTTCGAGTAATCATGTAAAAATGTTTTAAACATTCAATGTATCTATTTGAGTTTTTCCATTTTTTAATGTTAGTTCTTTCTTTTTTACACAAATCCAAAGTTCCACATAAATGTGAATTAAATGTTTTTAATAGGTCATAAAATCTACACCTAAATAGTTGAGTGAAATACTGTTTTTTAAGATGAAAATTGATACTATTTGCTTGATCTCTAAGCACACGGTTTGCACTTAATAATTGATCATTATGTTTAATATATAGATATTTCAAAGTCATCCAGTTACCCTCATTTAGTAAAATATTCATATTTAATATTCCCAATTCATTTGAAATACAATATAATGAAGTAAGAGGTACGTATAATGAATAACACCTGCATAAAAAAAATAAATTTTTTAATTAATAGTTATATATAAAACGTAAAAATCGACATTTAAAATTAATACTTATGAATTTTTAAATCTTTAATTACTTTGGAAAATTTAGTTTAACTTCCTTTCCTGTCATTTAAGGTTATTATTTTTAAATCTATCTTATTAATTTACAGAAAAGGTACAATATAGCAATTTTTGTATGAAATGGTATTAACTTATATTTTAATCAAAAAGGATTTGGAAATATTGTGCCCTTTAGTTTAGATTTAGTATAACATATGTTAAAATATAATAAAGTAAAGTTAATGTTACACATTATAGATTTAAAAAAAAATTTGTACCTTCGATTTGTCATATATGTGAAAAATTCCCCCAAAATTAAACAAAAATGTTTATTATTATGTAAAAGTCACCATTATTTAGCTTGATATAGTTTTTTACTTAAAACCATTAATATCTCCTCAACTTCAATTAATTAAAAATAATCAAAACGAAATATACAACAACATTTATTGACAACTAGTATATTTTTAGGCAAAAATTGTAATACTAAATTAATGAATATCAATATTATGCTAAATATACTATTTATTACTAAAATGAGTTAATTTATTTATGTATTATATTTATTGTCATCAAACTTGTAATCAGTAAATAATTAAGAAAGTAAGAGTGGATGTTCTACATTTCTGTTTCTGTTAATACCTCTTTTCTCATCTGCTCAGATTCACAGGCTTGTTTTCTTGCTATTAATTCTAACCCTTTTGATTATCAAACTTCCCCTATAATTTTTTCAATTAGAGCACTCCTCCACAAAATTTTAACCTCTGGTAAAAATTCATGTCCATTGGGTCCCTAGCCATGTCGTGATCCACGGTAATAAGTTCGATTATTCTCTGGCTAAATACGCATCATCATTCCTATGTTATCCTTCCTTTCTCCACCCTTATTCTGATACTCTGCATTATTTTAGATCTACTCTCATTTAAGCTTAGCTCACTAAGTGGTCTTCTCTTCCCAACAGCTTTGCCCGATGGCATCAGTCCATCGTACCTAGCCCTTCCAAAATTCCGTGTTTCCATCAACTAGATCATACTCGCAGTGTCATTTCAAGCTTTTCACGACTCATACTGGGTCATAACCTTTTACAAGCATTCGTTTACAAATTAAACCTGAATTCTGTTCCCTTTTGTCATTTACATGAGGATGAAATTCTCGGTGATTTTTCTCACTATTTATTGAATTGCTCCTCCTTGATGCCTAATAGATGCCTGCTTATAAAATTTTTAGAATTCAATGGAATTTCTAATTTTGTTCCCTCTGTTGTACTAAATTCCCATTCTATTCCCGTGAATACTGCGATCATTTATTTTATAATGAGCGCTGGTTGTACTATTTAACTACTTTATTATATATTATAATTTATTGCATATACTTTACTTTTATTATACTAACTAACACCCATTATTCTTGTAATTAATACTATATTATCTAATTCTTATGTAATTGTCGAGCTATAATATTTTCTTAATAAAAGCTAAAAAAAAAAAAAAAGTGTGGATATTTATTTTAGAATAATCCAATAACTTTTTTTTAATTTAACACTATGTACAGACTTGCATCGTTAATTATAATTATATAAAATATAATAGTTGGAGAATGTAGATGAGTGAAGCTCCTATGTTTTAGAATGTAGAATTATAGATACCCTTCCTATAGTATAATTTCTAAATATTCCATTGAATAAAGGCACTGATTTAGTAACTACTTATAGATCTTGATACTTCTAACCAGGTCTTGAATACACATGATATAAAATCATCGTGTAACATATATTGTTTGTAAAATATTAAGATAATACTACTGGTACAATTTGTAACTCTCAATTTAAAATAATAGTCAATTATTTAAAATTGTGTATTATCATTTTGCTAATCATTTATTGAGCAAAATTAGTTGGCAGATTTGTGATTTTTTCTTACTTATTAAACATAAATTACTATATTATTAGTATAATTACAATAATAAAAACTGATTCAAATAAAAATTTATTAGAATAAATTTATTCAAATGCTTTCTTAAAAAAATAAAAAATGTGATATGTAATATATGAATTATTTCCAATCAAATAAAATAGTAAAAAATTAATAATTTTTTAATTTACTTGTATAATAACGGATTAATTATTTCTTTAAAGCCAAGGCATTCGAAGTCATTTTTAATGGTGTTATTGTATAATGAATCTAGCATCATTAACACCACATCTATAGCCCTTGTATTAGAATTTACTGATTTGTAATGTAAATATTGCTCTTCAAAACAAAATTGATAGTTTATTGATTCGGGGAATTCAGACAAAATATAATTTTTGCTTTCATTATTTTCCAACATTAAATATAGTTGATCAATAAAATTTTTAATATTTGAAAGTACTGATGTCGCATTATCAAGTATAAAACTTCCACTCTGGTCAATAAAGAATGATTTATCAGAAATTTTCATAGTGTTTGTATAATGATATGCAAAATAAATTTCTTCTACCATTACGAATGGGATTCCTGAAATATTTATGAATAACCATTTTGTATCAAAATAACTCATAAACGTCATTACTTGGTACAAATTTTCAAACATTATGAATGAATTTTTCACTTTTTGTTCAATACGTTGAGTACAATCAATATATTCACTTAATAAATAAGCTATTGAATAAATTTTACACTCTTTTATACTTAAAGTAACGAGTTCTACATAACTTCTTAATATCTCAGTATATTTGTAGTTAAGTAAATGAACAACAATACTAAACATATTTAAAATATTACTTCTGTCAACATTTTGTGAAAATACATTTCCTATTGTAATGTTTCTGTTCTCATTATGATTCAGCTGTAAATGTTTAATTGAATTCCATCCTTCTTGTACACGAATATAATCTATTACTGCAATGACATATTCTAAATGATTACTTTTCGTATTTTTTGGATCTAATGTCAACACATGCACTAAGTGAGTAAAATAAATAAAAACAATAATTCCATGCTGCATTTCTAATAAATTTATCTATTAAATTTTTATATGATGCTAATATTTTTATATAGTTTTAAATCTTAAAAATTAATAATCGTTTTTGTACGAATAGTTGTATTTTTTTATATGTATTAAATATATTTCATTTTAAAAAGAAACGCTTAATCAATAATTCAGGTTTATTCAATATATTAGGTTATTTTTTTTTAGACATTTTAAATTTATTTTGTTAAAAGTATTTTGTATCGATAAATTAAACAACATAAATTGGTTAATGATACTATTTTTTAAATCTATTATTAAAAGCAATACCGTACAGTTTTATAACTTATACATATATAAATTTTATTTGTAGTATTATTAGATATTATGATATAATGAACGCTTACTCTATACTAAAGAGTATATGGATGGGCAACTCAAAGTTACTAGAGGGCCAATTTTTAGAAAATTAAAATCTGGCGGGCCAGAGCATAGAAAGCAAAAAAAAAAAAACTGATATAAATTCTGCAACATTACAGAACCCCTCAAATAGTTGAAAATAGGGTGATCTATTTTAAAGGAATGGTGAAAGAATTTGTATAATACTTTAGGGAAAAAGAGTTTATAAGAATCTTTTGTTAAGACGTGAAGAAAAACAAGCATGTTATAATATATCATAATTTCAAATAAAGAAAATTAATAAAACAGTTTATAAAAAAAAAAACAATGGGGTAATGGTGTTTTGAGGGTCTCAAATCCGCGAAACGCATGGGTTATGGGTAGTTGACAGGTCACTGCCCAGACGTTGTTTCGGCAAAGCAGCGTACTACAACCCCTGGGACGTTACCATGCCACCATAACCACACACGGGGAAATGAGTCTCAAGACGGGGGGGGGCATTAATATTCAATAAGATGAAACAAAAATGTGCATCAACACATTAAACAATATGTTCTAACAAAAGAAAAATCAAAATCATATACATTATAACATTATGAAGACTCATATGGAATTTTAGAAAGAGAAGGAATATACTTTTTTTGATGAACTATGTTATGGGTTCCTTTAGGGACATTTTCAAATGGATCAATAAGAGAATAAGCATTGTAGGACTTAATAGAGGAAATTTTATAAGGACCTTCATATAAAAGAAAAAATTTGGAAATCTTTTTGTCAAGAGCATTACTTAATTTATGTGTACGAACAAGAACAAGGTCATTAAATTTGAAAGGATGGGGTTTAATTTTTGATCATTTTTAAGTTTACGGGATTGAGCTTTAGTTAATTGGACTTCATTAGCTAAGATTAATTTTTTGCGGTATTGTTCAGGGACATCATTAGGAGGATATTCAATATGTGGAGAAACAGGATTAGGAATGTCATTATTGAAGAAAAGTTCTGAGGGGGAATGAAAGGTTGATTCATGACGAACATTATTCAATACCCATTCTATGTAGTGAACATACTGAGGCCAGGTGTTATGTCGCTCATTGCAATAGGTTCTAAAAAGACGCCCAAGCTCACGCAAGACACGTTCAGCAGGGTTTGATTGTGGATGGTAGACACTAGTATGCCCGACTTGAATTTTATACTTTTTTAGAGTTTGTTACCAATGTTTACTAATAAACTGTCTACCGTGGTCGGAGACCAAGCTTAAAGGAATGCCATATTGAGGAAAATAATATTGAGTTAATTTGTTTGTACAAGCTTTAGCAGTAGCTTTACGAAGAGGGAATAATTTAACAAGACGGGAAAAGTTATCCAGTACTACAAAAATATATTGTAGACCATAAATACCTACGGGGAGGGGATCATAAAAATCTACTAATAATTTATCTAAAGGTTTTTGGGAAATGATATGTTGCATAGGACCAGCCATTAAAGAAGTATTAATTTTGCATTTTTGACAAATGTCACAGGATCTAACTATAGAACGGATAATCCAGGACAATAAAAAATTTTAAGGTCAAACTCTTGTAAAACAAGAGTCCAATGGGTAAGACGGGCGTTTTTTAATTTACAAGAAAATAAGAAAGTGAGAGCTTTATGGTCAGTATACAAATTAATTGGATACCCAAGAATATAAACTTTAAATTTTTGACAAGCAAACAGAATGGCTAATAGCTCAAGTTCGGTTACAGAATAGTTACGTTCTGAACGACAAAGTGAACGACTAGCAAAAGAAATGGTATGACGTTGTTGGTCATCATCTATTTGGAATAATTCCGCACCTAAACCTATAAGGGAGGCGTCGGTTTGGATACAAAAAGGAAGGTTAAAATTAGGGTGCGTCAGAGCGACTTGATTACAAAAAGCATTTTTAATTTTATTAAAGGAGGATTTTTCTTTATCTTTAAAGGACTAGGGGACATTTTTCTTACGGAGGTGAGGAGAGAGGATTTAAAAGTTGAGAATGATTTTGTGAGAATTTACGGTAGAAGTTACAAAAACCAAAGAATGATTGAAGATCTTTTCTGTTGCAGGGTTCAGGAAAATTTTTAAAAGCTACTACTTTTTCAGGGTCCATTATGGTACCACTGGAAGAAACAAAGTGACCAAGAAATTTAATTTGAGTTTTGAAAAAATGACATTTTTTAAATTTAAGAGTGAGACCAGATNAATTTTTTAAATTTAATATTGAGTAAAATTAAAACTATATTAAAAATATTATTAATTTAAAAAACTAAAAAATATTAAAAATATTAAACTCAAAGCCACAAAAAAAATTAATGAAAAGTCGCGGATACGTATTCCGGAAACAATGTTACCAATATCAACGCTAAACACATACTGACATCCCGACTAGAAAAAACTCCTTTATATACCCCTAGTGACATTATCACCTAGTGACGTCAGCACTAAGTAATATTATCACATTTTGCCAGTTTACACAAGTTTAATAATGAATTTTTCAGTGGGCCAAGATCCCAATTAATTAAATTGTTTTTATTTTTAAACATTTCTATTGCTTCTCTGATATTAAGTTCTTTGTAATTATTTACGTTTTTAATTAGTTTTATGGTTTTAATAGAGTGATTATGTGTCAATAAATGTTCGGCCACTGGAGATTTCTCAATTTCTTGATTTTTAATATTTCTTAAGTGCTCTTTAAACCTGACCCCTATATTTCTTTTTGTTTGTCCTACGTAACATTTATTACAACTTTCACATTGTATTTTATAAATGCCTGATTTCCCCCCTTCATCTACCTTATCTTTAGGGTTACCTAATAAATCTCTTAAATTATTACTCTTAGATGTTACCAAAGTAATACCAAAATTCTTAAATATTTTAGTTAATCCATTTGAGATGCCCGGATAAAATAAAATTGGTGATCTAATTACTTTTTGTTCCCCCTCGCTGGAGAGTGTACTAGCTGCCCTCCTTTCTTTTTTCCACTTTTGTGTTCGGACTAATTTTGAAATTATGTTTTCGTTATACCCATTAAATTTAGCTATTTCTTTTATAACCACCAATTCTTTATCANCAATAGGGTATTCTCATCTTTCAAAAAATTCGATAGCTTTTCAGTTAAAAATAATATTGACTTAGTTAAACAATTATCTGGTTATACCATTCAAAATAATGACAGGTTAATTTCTTTTGACGTAGTTGCCTTATTTCCGAATATTCCAATAAATATAACAATTGATTTTCTTAAAGACTGGCTAAAGGACCAAAACATTGAACAGGATAAAATAAATCCATTCGAGACTTATTAAATGTTTTTCAAAAGATTGAGAAGAGATTAGGATGTCATCAACATAAGTATGAATATCATTAGGAAAAGGACAAGGGATAGTAACATTACTCAGGGCAGCTTCCAAACCTTTACCAAAAATAGCATTAGAAATGTTGAGACCAAAAGGTACAACACAAAATTGGTAAGACCTGCCATCATATAAAAATCTAGTATATGGGCGAACAGAAGGATCAAGGGGGATTTGCCAATAGCCTGAAGTAAAGTCAAGAGAGGAAAAAACATTTTTATTATTAAATTTAGCTAAAATTTCATCAATAGGAGGGGAACTGTCACGGGAGGAAGAATAATCGTATTAAGTTTCCGAGCATCTAAACAGAGCCGGATAGAACCATCTGATTTAACCACAGTAACTAATGGATTATTATAAGGAGCATCTGACCTTTCGATAACCCCTCAATTAAGCATCTTGTCAATTTCCTGTTGAACAGCAGAGCGACGAGAGAATGGGACAGGGTAAGGTTTTATTTTGTAGGGCTTGTGCTCAGAAACATTAAATTTATAAGTAAACAAATTATGTAATCTAGGGCGATCTTGAAAAATGTGTGAATATTTATTAATTAATGAGTCTATGGAATATTGTTGTTCGTTGTTAAGGGGCATATCATGAAGAGCAAAGTTTTTTGTTGAAGGGAAAGGAGAAGAATGTTCAGGAAGTTCATAAGATAAAAAATTTTGAGAGAGATTATTAATTGTTACATGTTTTAATGTATTTATTAAGTCATTAGAGTGATTGAAGAATATAATTTTAAAGGGAACAGGAGCATTTGGAGGAGGCAAGATAATTTAACGGTTTTTATAATTAAGAGAAATATTATTTTCAAGTAACCAGTCAGTACCTAAGATAAGAGGAGTGGATAAGTGAGGGACGATTAAGAAAATGGCATGAGTTTTGAAGTTATTAATATTAAAATTTACATAGATTTGAGAATTAATTTTGACAGATTTATTGGTAATTGCAGTTTTTAAGAATATACTAGAAAGAGGAAAAGATGGGATATTAAATTTAGTGGGATAATTTTTTAACAGGTTATATAAATTTTCAGACATAGCAGAGACAGGAGCACCAGAATCAAGAAGAGCAGTATAGAGATTATTAAAGATAGAGATTTCAACTTCGGGACGAAAACTAAGAGAAGGAGAGATTTTTTGATCAGGGCTTAATGGATGAGAAAGAATATTTAACTGAGGAACATTGGGAGACGATCCAGAAACTGTCCTCACGAGACTGGTCATTGGTCGTTTACCGCAGGTGGTGATTGGGATATATTAGGAGTACTGGAAAGATTGGGAGAAGAACTGTTTGTGGAATTATGGGGTTGACTGTTATTATAAGGAGCTCGTCCATGGAATCTATTTTGATAAAAGTTATTACGGTTATTAGG